AACAAATATAAATTACTTCGTTATTGTACATAAATTAAATTATAAAAAAATTAAATTAAAAAATTACACAAAAAAATTAAAGAATTTCAAATAGTTAATTTGATATTAATATCGATATATTTTTGTTAAAATTTTATGATATCTTCAAACATATATTTTATTCAAAAATAAAAACATCATTGTTTTATCAAAATCACATAAAACCATATTATAACATCGACTGAGATAAAGAATAAAATAAAATATTAAAATCATGATATATCTCGCTGCATTGCGCGAGTACGCTTCTAGTAAAATTTTTATAAAGATAATAATTAAGTATTTTATTATAACTAAAGATTATCCTAATTATATTTTAGATTTTGTATATTCAAAATGAGATGTCTATCTCGTATTTGATTATGTTTATCTATAATTAGTTACACGGATTCAAAAAATAAAGTTTTGATAAGTTATATTTACGCATAATTTACTTGTGATTTTGAATTTTAAGTAATATGCATTAATAAACAGCGCTTTATACATAAAAAATGGTTTTTAAACGTTTTTATCCAATACTTTATAATATAATATAGATAATTAGTAATGGTTAAGACGATTAATGTGGTTATACGATACAACTTTTTTTGCATTAATAATGATACAAGCTAAAGAGAATATCAAGTTAGTAAAATTTTACATTGGACGTTTATATCAGTTACATTTTGTGTTATCGCATTGTTTTGAATTCATTATAGAGATGGCACGGTCGTCTTATCCGAGCCTTAATCGGTTAAGCCGATTGCCTGATAAAAATGGTAGTAACCAATTATAATTATTATTAGGCCTGTTTTTTTTTAGCAAATTACATGAAAAAATAACGTACTTTAACTTGATTCCTATTTTGAAAAACGTAATTCCAAAATTCCATTTTGGTACTTAAGATATAAAGTTTTAAACATTTAAATACCCGAATAACCGGTTGAAGCATTAACCTCGACCAGTCTCTAAGGAGTGGCTATGTTTTTCAGTCTCCAAATTTATACCCACACATTATCACCCCCTCGTGGAAAACGCTGACAATGCATAGACAATAAAAAACCAGACTAAGCAAACCCGGTATATCCTACTTAAAAGTAGAATCCGAGGGATGAATGTAAGCAAACATATCATGTATCCCAAAAAGTAGAAAGATAATTTCCATGAACACCTTCGGCTTGTAAAGAGTTGAAGATCAGATATTGGGTACCAATCAAAATTACTAAACAAGAGATCAAATTCTTTGGTTTTAAGACACAAATAGCGCGGCTAAATATGATAATATAATCAGAGAATTAGGTGTTGTTCGGTTGTTTTTCAATTAAGTCCTGTATGGATTAGACCAAATTGTTATTCTGTGGTTACACGGAATAAACAGCTTGAACGATGAATATGGCTATTTTACCCCTCAACCATTCAGCCTATTTAACCCATTAAGCCACAACCGAACAACACCTTAGAAAGCATTACTTAGATTTTCTGGATGACAACCGAGTTGGCAAGGCCAGCCTGCTCAATAGTCTGGCTCAAATCAATGAGTTGCTTCGGTGGGAACCCAACTGTTTGCAGCTGATAATCACTTGACCCATCAGGCCTAGATGCATTAATGAAGGCTCGGATGTCAGCTACAGTATGATGATGGTTGAAGTGGGCAATCATTCGGGTCCCATCGGCTAACCTGAGCTGAATAGAGGTTGATGGCAAAGTAGTGTCTAAAATTAGACCCCTAGAAGGCACAGGGGCGTTTGTGGTATTTGGCACGGGTGCTGGTTCATCCGTGCTCCTACCTAATGTTCTTCCTACACCTTGAAATGCAACTTGGCTTGCTACCGGTTCCTACAAGAAAAATAAAAAGGGTGCGACTTTCAGGCGACTACATAACTTTGTACAACCACACAGTCACTGTGTTGTGTCGTCACCATTGATTTCCAAAGGATCAAGAAAGACATGAGACGAGTTGCAGGCATAACTGGTAATACATGCTCACAAGTAATCTCGTCCCAATTTATTTTTATTTAAGTTTGTCTCAAAATACTACATCCATCCCAAAATAAGTGTCCACGTTTCTATTTATGTTTGTCCCAAAATAGGCGTCCATTTTAAAAAATATATTAATAAATTTCCAAATATTTGAGATTTGATAAGATAGATATATCAATTAAGGGTAAAGTTGTCATTTCTTTAACTAAAAAGTGTAAAAATTATTATGTCCAAAATTGTGAGCCATTTCTATTGTTGACACTTATTTTGGGGAGGGAGTAAAAGTGTCTCCTTCCAAATACATATTGTTATAATTTACTAAAATTTCCAACTCTGAATATAGAGACAGAAGGTTTGTCTCTATTACTAAGGGTAAAATTGTCTTTTGCTAATTAAAGTGTAATAAATTAAACATTGTTTAATTTTATGTGTTTTTTTTGTGGACATATACTTTCGACAGAAAGTATCAACTTGGTTTAAACCGGCTAGAGAGAGAGAGAGAGGACTAACCAGGAAATTCTCATCCCTCCTTATTAGATTGACATGAACAGAGGACCTTCTGTTAGCAGGCTCCAACTCTTTTGGACACTCAGACTTCCTGATGCTCTGCAAAACAAATCACAAAAAGAAAACAATAAACATATGCAGAAATAAGAAAAAAATTGGTTCATGTATATATAGGACATTTTTAGTGTTCGAGAAGATGAAGATAAACAACAACAAAAACGGAAATCGTGAATGTAAATCCGCAAGAAAGTCGCTGGTTTTATGCATATTCAACACAGGAAAAGAACCAAAGGAAGATTGTGAAATGAGGAATTATTGCTTCGTGTACATTAAGAATCAAGCCCTTCACGGAAACAGTCACTTTACTCTTCAGGATAGATCCCACCCTCCCCGGACTCCACCTTTTGGTTGGATATAACAGGCTTGTTTGGTTTGGACATTAAGTGTGCATTTGGTACATAGAGGGGATGGGACAGGACTGGACGGGCTAGAGTGAGGTATGCATGTGAAAGAAATGTGCAAGCTTTTAGGGTTTTAAGTTTACATGGGTAGTTTAGTATTTTACTAATCTTGTACCATCTCCCTGATTTTTATCCCACCTTTTTGGTGGGACAAAAGAGTGCATTTTGTCTCACTCAGTCTTGTCCTGTCCCAGTTTACTGTCGCACCAAACGTGAGACAACAAGTTTTTGTTCTGCCCTGATCCGTTCTGTCCCACATACCAAACGCTCCCTAAGAATCAAACACCTGATAACAAAACTGGTATATTCTCAATTACCTCGAGGAAGGGTGCATTTTCAGGATCATCCAACCTCCTCAATGGTCCATCATTTACAGTGAAACCATTTCTCCAAAAAACAATATTGTGAACAAGATTCTGCGGCTGCTGAGGAGCGGCTGGTACTGCTTCTCCCGAGAGTAATCTACCAGTGCCTGTAAAACTTCTTGAGCTTGAAGAAGGATGAAGATTTTCTACAGGTCCCTCTACACCACCTAACTGCCTTGCTTGCTTAAATATTTCATCCACATCATTAACCTTATTAGGATCTTGGACAAGCATACCACTGCAGATAGGATTGTAACCGATGTCATAAATATGCATCACCAATATTCATCCTTACCCATAGACAACAGCATAGAAGAAGATGAACATAAGACTGAAGTGTGTTCAAAGAGATAACCATAATATATGTTTGTTTGCCTAACTAGCTGAAAAGCTAGCTAATAAACTAGTCATGTTTGGTGGTAACAAATAGCAACTAGATGATAATGTAAAATAACCTAAAGGGCATGTTGAAAAATTAATTGGAAAATGCACAAAAAAGACTATTTATCTCGTCTGCAGAAAATTCTGGGAAAACTTAAAGAGGCATAAAAGCCCTTAAATTAGCTTTCAGAAAACTAGTTTATTGTTAACCAAACAGAGTTTTTTCAATAAGTGCAAAAATAAGCTAGCTTATGCTTGTCAAACATGGCCATAACCTAAGCAAACATCCAAATTGGCCACCTCGATTTATCCCTACCAGATAATAAAAATAAGCTTTCTTGGTTTTTCAAGATCAGCTTCTGAAAACCCATTATTGATCTCTACAAAAATTACTTGTAAAACCTCAAAATTTCCAACAGATTCACATTTTGTTGGTCATGCATGGGAATCATATAAAGCTGTTGCAACAATAATAACTCCATCACAGGTGGCTCAGTATAGCCCGCTGCAAACATCGTCTACTTGCAGATGATGTAAATGATACAAACTCAAATCCTGATATTTTGCTGGAAGAACGTCAATAAATGTTTTCAAACTCATCCCAAACACATGATCTAATTGTGGAGAATACTTCTATAACCAACATGGTCCGACCACGAACATACCCATGACCCTCTTCATTTGTTACAAATCAAGACATCTAGAATGCAGGAAGTCTTTCATTTTCCCTGCTGTTTCAACTTTTAATATGATCAATGTGACAGTGGAAGATCACGGTAAACAACGATCCCAGGCACATAAAGTCTCTAACAAGAATTTTTTAGTCAATAAAAGCTACAAACGACAATTCATCCATGCTTTCTGTCAATAAAAGCTCAACTGAATGAACATGTAACAAAAAGATCATCAAAAATTGAAACCAAATGGAACCCCCAATTACGAGTAACATATGCAACACTTATTTTCAAACAAGCACTTGATCCATTGCATTGAACTCCAATTTCAAAAAAAATCCCTAATTTAAGTAAAATTTAGTTTAAAAATCGCCCATTCCCCTCAAATTTACCACATAACGGTGCAACCTTATTTTTCAAAATCTAAAAAAAAGTATACTCTAATATATTATTCAATAAAACAATAAATTTACCCACACAACCTCCACATTTAAAACAAAGCTTTGCAGGCTCAATTTGATTCAATCAACATGATCGATGATCGATGATCAATAATCTATTGTCGTCACAAACTAATCCAGGATTTAAACGATCAGTGAGAAAGAAAAAGAAATCTAGGGTTTGGAAGTTATCGAAGGGAAACCTCTTTTCGCCGCCGGTATAGTACTCCTGAGGGGCATCCGAGTCGCTGTCAGAATCGTGAGCGGAGGGGCGGTTCAAATCGGAGAGAGTTCGAATGCCGCGGGGACGACTCGTCGATGGTTTTGCCGGATTCTTGTCGCGGGACGCCATTGTTGAGTTCGGTGGCTCAATCGTTGTATTTAATTGGATAGAGATTGTCGAATGTTTTTCTTTCTTTCTTTTTTGAAGGAAATCGAATGGTTTTCTTATTAATTAGTTTTTAATTGATTTTATAAAGTTACACTTTTGGTCCTTGTCGTTGTAAGTTACTATCAAGTCTCGTTTTCTTTGAACTAATTATAGTTTTGGTCATTGTGGTTACTACTGTGTTTCTCTTGAGCTACTTGCATGTGCTTGAGTGTCACCATGAGCATCTTCCTTCTCTGCATATGTCCTCTTCTCAGTCCGTGTTTCCTTTTCTATCTCGTCTGGACCCCACCTAGATGACCATTTACCGTCACGTCGTGCCTCATGCCCAGCACTGCGGTTACCAACATCAAGCCACCTATCAGAGGAAGGTGCTCTATTACAAGGCGTATTATTACCCACATCAACACGACGATCATTTTTCCTGCCCTCTCTTCTACCAAGTAAGCCTGTTTCTCTTTCTTCTTCACGCCAGCGGCGACCACTTTCTGCTTCAATTCCAGTTTTCCTCCAATCTTTCTTGTCCTCAGATCCATCTGAACGCCAAGCCTCCTTCAAATTGGAATCAGMAGAACTTCCAAGAGAGAGGGAACTTGGTGCACGCATTTCCTATATTCATAGTAACAAAGAATATAAGCTTTCCTAGCCGTGTATGGTTATAATATTCCAAAACACAGCAGTAATGTAAAAAAATACTTATGGTGTTTGCTGCAATTTAACCATAATTAATATCAAGGGAGCTGCTGATAAAATTAAAAGAGAAATTATTATTATTATTTATTATTATTACTACTATATATATATATATATATATATATATATATATATAGGAAAACAACAGAAAATGAAAAAAAAATGAGAAACACACGGGTAAATCATTCACTTGGACGGTATGTGCATGTGTATAAAATTAATTTGTAAACAGTTTGTCCCGTATGCAAGTGTGTGTAACATACACACGTGCGTAAAAACCAATAAACAGCTTCAATTACTTGTATGCACATATACATACCATCTAGATGAATAGTTACCAAGATGTTCATTCGTTTATTTTTGTTTATGGGTTTTCCCTGAAAGTGGAGGTTCAAACGAGAACACTTGCATTTTATGAGAATGCGAGAACACTCTTATCACACGTGATAATACACATGAGGGGACCTAGTGGTGTGTGGACGTCGTGTCTTGCAACTTAGGTCGCGTCAAAGGTCGTTTGGGCCTATGATTTACTATCACATGTGATGGTCTTGATGAATCATAGTATCACATCAACAATACATTTATCACATGTGATAATACATGTGAGGAGGCTTGGTGATGTAAGAGCGACTTGGCCTGCAACCTAGATCGTGCCAAAAGTCGTTCGGGTATTTGATTTAGTATCACATGTGACTGTCTATAGTAAAAGGTGTTATCGCGTTCTTCGGAAATATGTTCTCGTTTGAACCCCTCCCTTCCCCTGAATCACCTTATATATATCCAACAAAGATGAATTCTCAGGTGAAACGAGTTATATTATTGGAATATGATTTGGGATCGATGTATGGACTGCAATGTGATTTGGAATTCCAACCGCTCACCAATGGGTTGTCAGAGAAAATGGTCGGAGGGGTTCGTCGAAGAGGGTCGCCGAACTATGGGACAAGGGGAAGAAGAAGACCCGTGGGGTTGGGGTACATTAATGGATTGTACACGTGCTTAAAAACATGTGTATTTTGGAAACCATTAAATAAAAAAAAAGGAAAATAGGTAAAATGACCAAAATGCCCCTTACTTAACGAACAATTTAACAGAGTTAGTGATCAAAGATGATTTCCAAAACAAAATGTGAACCACAGGGACGCTAACTGTACTTATTGCAAGTCTAGGGACAATTTGAAGTTAGTGTGAAATGACAATTTGCTAGTTTTTATATATTTTATGGAACTTTATATCATGTATAATATTAATATGTATATATTTATTTAACTTATATTATATATGGGACCCACAAAATGGGTTGTTATTAAAACTACTATTATGGAGTTTTATGTAAGTTATTAATTTGTTGAGTTGGAAATGACGTGACAAGAAAAAAAAAATACAAAAAATGGGTTTTTACAAAAACCTCCGTTGAAGATGTCGTGTACCGGAAGAAGATTAGGACCAAAGCTGTTACGCAAGATATTAGTGGGAAGCCTCGAACCACCACCACTTAAAGTCATTAGTGGATCTCTAGTAGTTGAGGAAACTGCCGACGATTAGGCAAGTCCTCAACCACTAAAGCTAATCCGCCTACAGATGAATTTGTGTCATCCGACATGTAAAAGGACCACATGGAAACGTGCATCCTTGACAAAAAAGGATTATCACACCGGGATGACATGAACAACGTCTAAACGATTTCATAGTTGTGTACCAAAGCCAGTGGGCTTCAGCTACGTGGCATTATGTTTCCTCCTTCATTCGTATAAATACCAATCTTGGGCGATGAAGCTTCATGCTAGAACATTAAGCTAAAAAAGAGCAAAGCGGTATACGCAATCTTTGCACTAACTGAGGAATCCCTGAATCATCAGGTTCTCACAACTATTAACACTGCTTTAGATTAACAGTTTTAGATTGAGTGGGTTTACTAAGTTGAGAGATTTTTAGGTTTAATATTTTTTTTTTGAAGTATATAATATTTATATATGACAAATGCAACAAATAAACTCACACACCCTCTTCACCTTTGGTGAGGTTTGAACCTCTGACCTCCTAGGAGGCCAAAACTACGATACCGCCAGGCCAAATGCCCTTTGGTTATGTTTAATATTTATCAAGGGTAGAAACTTTATTACATAATTTATCACTTGTTAATCCGTTATTTATTTTCACTAGTTAATCCGTAATTTATCACTTGTTAATCCGTTATTTATTTTCACTAGTTCATTGTTTTGTAAAGAGAGTTCATTTAACCTACAATTACTACCCTTCTCGTTAATTTATCCGTCATCAGATTAAAATGAAACGTACATCCCTTTTTCGCAAGGGAGTACAGTGTTTTCTTTTGCGAACTTTCAGTTGGTTTCACCGAACAGTTACAGAAGTGTTATGAAACGATTACGAAGGAATACAAATTATGAAGCTGTTACAAATGGAATAGTATATAAAGTATTCGGGACATTGATGATTAGCATTCAGTACTATCTAAAGCATTTCTTAATACACCTTACTCTTTAAACCCTACTTTCTATTCAGATATGATCAATATTCGTTTAGTTTGATTAAAATAAACCCCACATTTATGAGTTTCGGCCGATAAATCCCTTCGAGATGGCTCAATTGATAAAATCTTGGGTTTGCTCATCATTTGTCACCGGTTCAAAACCATTCAAGGCTCTAGCCTACTCAAAGGCCACTGAAGGTTTACCCAACTAGGGGTGTAAATTAGTCGCACTTTTAATGAGTTACTCGAGCTCGAGCTCAATAATTCTCGAGCTCAAGTCGGTATCATACACAATGTTCGACTCGACTTGTTTGAAAGCTCGATTAATTTTTCGAGTCGAGTCGAGCCAAACCATTCGAGCATATACTTTTTTTGAGCCAAACATTGTCATATGTACATAAATAATTCTATAAAAACAAAAACTATCAACCACAAGCCAATAAACGAGTTAACCGATCGCGAATATGATCCCGTAAAACGAGCATCGAGCTCGGTCTCAATAACTCAAAGAATATTCGAGCTCAAGCTCAAGCCATACATTGAAAAAGTTATTTGAGCTCGAGCCTACTACTCGACTCGGCTTGTTTACGCCCCTACTACCCAACTGTTAACTTCAAATCTCAGCACAAAGATTCTCAATATATTATATCCGAGTAGTATTTTTATTTATTTATTTACAAATAATATATACATTATGTAATTTCAAGGTCACACTAACGGTGATCTGATGATCCTATATCCATTCGGTCGATAAATTTTCCGGGTGGGCCAACGAATTGTGTCGAACCCGGAAAATGACAGAATGGCTGGATCCTTATAGTAAACATTTGTGGTTCGATCATAAAGCGTATTCTTAATTTGTTCAACATACCGAGCGAAAAACAGTGATGAAATAAGCAAATAACCGCTAAGCCTCAACTCCAAGCTCCAACAACAAGGTGTGGTTGGCTCTATCAGCTTCTGCCCCAACAAACTGAATGGGACCTGCCAAAATGTATTTCATAAATAAATGTTATTCCCCTCGTCCTAAAATAAATGTCCATGATGAAAAAGATACAATTTTTAATCAAGTAAATGACAATTTTACCCTTAGTAATAGGAGTAATGAATTTCTCATCTTATAATTAAGGGTAGAATTGGAATCTTTAAAAGGAAGGAGTAAGATAGTGCCATGAACACAGAACTTGACTAATATGCTGCTCATATTTCACACATTAAACCAAACCAAGTCAAACGACCCGAGTAAATCCCACCCAGAGGTGGGGTCAGGTTTGGGATGTACACGGATCTATCCTCTTTATATTTAGTTATCTGTTTTACGTGCTTTTAATCGTTTTAGAAAGTATGCCGATCCCTCCTTTTGTCCGTGAATGACAAACTATATAAATATAAATGCAAAAAAGATCATGGTACTTTGACATTTTTCGTCTAAGATAATTTGTTTGTTCAAAATTAGTGTTTTTCTTAACTAGTTTGTTTGCAACAAAAAACCAAGTATAAACCAAACTAGCACAGTATATCTCACACCAATGGGGTATGGAGGGTAAGATGTATGCAGACTTGATCTCTACTACAAATAGCATGAAGACAACCGGCCTTTGGAAAAGTGTGTGTGAGAAATTTATTTAAGAAAGGTTGTGAAAAACCAAGTATGATGGTTCAAGATATCAATAAGTCAAAAGTGACATGTTACAACTTTAACGGGACAAAAGGAGATACGATGAACGCTTTCACTTTCTCTTCGTAATTTTCTTATCATAATCATTAATTTGAGCTAACCAAGTCAACCGAAACATGGTTTTATCGAATTTCAGACGTAATGGCTCAATTCTTTA